TAGAAATTGTATCATCTAGCATTCATGCACCTTTGAACACTATCTCTTTGAGGCCGCAAAGACTTGGTGGTTGTGGTTTGCTATTTCTCCATTTGTGCTGCTTTCTGTCTCAATGTGTGCCTTCTGTTGTTGTCCTTCTACATGTTCCACAGCAGATGCAAGTAACAGAAAGCAGCTCCAAGGGCTACATAATACTCACCATTCAGATGTGAATGAAGAGGCACGAGTCGGACGTGCAAAACATAATGGTGTACTAATTATTTTCCCAAGAATATTAAGCACTTAATATATTATTGATGTTAAAATCTCAGTTCTTCTAATAATGTACCCTTGTGGTTTTGAAAAGTTAGTGCAAGTAACAATAATTACAGTAATTTTCAAGTTAGGTGGTTTCTGCTGTTCTGCTGAGCATGGAGAAACTATATGTTTGGATTACTATTTGGGGAAATTTCTCCAAGCTTTGTTCTGAAGTGGAACAAATCCTTCTTTGTGCTCTTTCCAAAATAATTCTTAGTTTCTGTTCTTAGAAGATTTTACACCCATTTTTAACACCTTTAGTAATTCTGATATAACAACACATTTCCCCCTTTTCTCCAGTGATTCATTTCTTGCATGATTGTATGGCTCTATAACTCATTGAAAGGAAATACAGTAGAACCCTCACTGCCATCAACAGGTTTGGTATCCGTGGTTTCAATTATCCATGGTGTACTGCAGCCCTATATACAACATATAAGGGGGTAGGCCTTGTGGCCTTTATTGCATCCCCTTGTGGCCTTTGTCCCGCCTCCTTTTACCTTGTATATAACAGTAGTCCCCAATCTTTGACCTCTAGATGTTCTTAAACTTCAGCTCCCAGAAATCCTGGTGGTGGTGAAGGCTTCTGGGAGTTGTAGTCAAAGAACATCTGGAGGCCCAAGGTTGGGGACCACTGGTATATATGGTTTGCTACTATCTGCAGTTTCAGGCATTCACAGTAGATAATGGAATGGATGCCCCAAAGATCCAGGTGTCCTGTTGTGATAGCATTTTTAATTTTCATCTGAAAGTCTGCTCTTTTAAAATTATTTTAAAGGTAAGATTTATATGGTTTATGAGTTTTCAAGAGCTGCGCAGAGTTGATAATGATAGGATAGTTTGAATGTCATTCATTCATAGAGTTACTGTAAGTCAGAGGTAACATGATGGGATATGAGAACAACAACAACAACATTTATATAGAATAAAGACAGATGGAAAAATAATTGTGCTGAAAAATAAATTTCTCTCTCTCTCTCTGTCCCATATCTGTATGTTTAAATAGTACTGTGGACAAAAATATAGCTGTTTGTCACAAGAAGTGCAATTTATTATAAAAAACCAAATATATACCATATATACTCGAGTATAAGCCGACCCAAATATAAGCCAAGGCACCCAATTGTACCACAAAAAAAAACTGGGAAAACTTATTGACCCGTGTATAAGCTGAGGGTGGAAAATGCAGCAGCTGCTGGTAAATTTCAGAAATAAAAATAGATACCAATAAAATTACATTAATTGAGGCATCAGTAAGTTAAATGTTTTTGAAGATATGGTCCTTCTGAGCTGTGAGACACACTTCACTGCCTGCGGAGGGAGGACTCATACTGGATGCTGCGCTTATCTACTGCTCTACTGCTGCATAACAAGATGGAAGGGGAGAGAGGATGGAGGAGGAAGGTGGTAGGAGGAAGGTGGGTATATAGAATATGCAGAAGGAGGAGGATGGGAGTGTCCTGGAAGGGGAAATGCAGTGTACTTAACCCGGGTCATCGGACCACCCACAGAGGCTGCAGGCGCCCGTAGATGAGCAGGGGAATCCGGAGACACCTGCACTGCAAGGGAGAACATGTAATTTTGACACTGGCTCGACTATAAGCTGAAAAAATTGTGCTGAAAAACTAGGCTTATACTCAAGTATATACAGTACTTCCTATCCCAAAACGGAATTAAACCACAGCCAATTCTATTCATGAATATAATATCTAACCATCCTTTTTATCTGTACAAAATTAGTTTTTAAAACTTTCCACATTCAAAATATTATTTTACCATCCATTTACTAAACAAAATTAGATTTTTAAACTTTTAAAACTATAACATTATAATTGCTACAAAACAGCTCGCAAGCAATTTGTTGGTACAGTAAGACCCCCCCCCTTATTTGCAGAATTGGTATCTGCTGATTCACTTATTTGCAGTCTGAAAATACTAAAATTAAAAGAAAAATCCCCAAATATATGTACAGTATCTATTTTTAACAATGAGGTTCCAGAACTGGCCTCTAAAGAGTGCCAGAGACCATGCTATGTACAGTATATTGTTTGCTTTTACAGTGTTGCCTCGACTTACAGATGTCCCCACTTACGAAAATTTCGAGTTACGGAAAGCTCCAGCCGCAAAATTTTGCTTCTACTTGTGGCCGGACCTTCCACTTACAAAAGGAAAAAGGCCGGGGGAAAGGGCGGGAAATTTAAATTTACAGTACTAACTGTTGGTGGCGAAGAAAGAGGCTGCTTCTTTGTAGCTGTTTCACCCCAATGGTTAGGGAAAGGGATGCAGTGGGGGT